TAACGCCCTACCGATGAATATAAGGGTCGCACTGTTATCCTGCAACAGCTTTTCCGCCTGAAAGGGATGCACTATTTTGCCGACGGCTGCCGTCGGGATACCGGCCTCTCGTTGTATAGTAGCGGCCGCTTTGTGCTGCACTTCCGGCGTATTTAAGGGCCCGTAGTCTACGTTTCCGACGACACCACCGGAACTACAGTCCACGACATCGACGCCGATAGCCTTCAGCCGTTTGGCGAACTCCACACTCTGTGTCACATCCCATCCCCCGTCCGCGTAATCGGTGACCGAAATACGTACTAAAAGTGGAGTCTCTTTAGGGATGACTTTCCGCACTCTGTGTGCCGTCTCTAACCCAAAGCGCATCCGGTTTTCCAGTGAACCGCCGTATCTGTCGGTCCGCGTGTTTGAGAGTGGGGACAGATATGTGCTGATAAGGTAGCCGTGGGCGTAGTGCAACTCAATTGCCTGTAATGGATGTTTAAGTATAAATATTATAAAATATTTTACTATCTAGGTAATATTTACATTAAAACTTAATTAATTATAAAATCTTATTTACTTATCTACACATACTTTTAATTTGCATGTGCTTTAATAGCATTACAATTAGCTAATATGTTATATTATAATTTATAATTTAATGTATATATTATAAAATAGTTTTGCTAATACTCTTAAAATTTAATATTCAATTTACAGTAACAAAATGTAAGCATTTAAAGTTTTAATTGAAACTGTAACAAAATAACTTCACATGGATAAGTTAACCTTACACAAATCAATTTATTTAAATGGTCTGACTATGAGTTAACATTTTATAAAGTATATTTATCATTTTTTTGGGAACTATCTGAGCATTATTGCAATTAACTAATTAGATGTGTTATAATTAATTATTTAATGTAAATATAAATAGTTTTAACGGGGCTCTTAAGATTTTATATTCATTATTTAAATTTCTAACAAATTGTTGTATAAAACTATCACAAAATAACTACATATAAATAACCATGACTAATTAACTCGCAATCTAATTTAATGGTACTTCGACCACTTGAGACTACTTTTAAAATATAATTTTTATTTATAGTAAGTTATATTTACAAGTAAATAACAATTTTGCAAATAAATAATTAAATTATAGTAAGATAAAATATAACATGAAAATAGACATCCCGTACCTCAAAGCCAGCCTTAACCGCACGTATGGCCGCCGTTTCAAAGGCCTTCTGCAGTACTTCGATGTCCTCCAGAGTGGCCTCTTTGGGCACTTGAGACTTGTCGTCATAGGCTACGGCACTGGGAGCCACGATATCCCAGCCCCCATTCTCAGCCGTTAACGTCTCCCCCCTAACACCTTTCCATATGACTGGAGTGCTAGCCTTACGGCCCGCGTGGGCCAACTGTATGGCCGG